TAAGGTTCCTCTTATTCAACCTAACCTTGAATTGTTTCCTCAGACTATTGACCCAACATTCATGTTCCCATAAAAACACTCTTGTGACTTTCAGTCATGCATTCTATCAGCAGGTATTTATAAAACGTCTACGATATACAGGTAGGTTTCAAGTACTTCATATTGTTTTAAGCATTTATACTTTAACAATCTGATGAATCTCTACCTATCACCTCTTCTTCTGAGGTTGAGACCTATGTACTCAGGGGCAGGCTCAGTTTTTCTCTACCTAGACACAAAAGAACTCAACAATCTCAACTGAACACATCTCTTGTCTCTCACTTATCCCATCTCCCTCTAAGAAATCCTCAAACTTAATTTCTTCCCTCAAGTTCTTTTTTTTTTTTTTTTTTTTGGGTCCAGTGGTGGGGCCTGAACTCTGGGCCTGGGCGCTGTCCTTCAGCTCTTCAGCTCAAGGCTAGCGCTCTACCACTTGAGCCACAGTGCCACTTCCGGCTTTTTTCTTATATGGTGCTGAGGAATCGAACCCAGGGCCTCAGGCATGCAAGGCAAGTGCTCTACCACTGAGCCACCTTCCCAGCCCTTCCCTCAAGTTCTTATCTCCATGAATTATACATCTACCCAATGACCTAAAGAAACTGTCAAATCTATAAGCTTTGTTCCATCTGCCTAAATACCACAAATAATTGCTTTCTGGCAAAAAAAAAAAAAAAGTGTGTGTGTGTGTGTGTGTACATGTCTTTCCACTATGTATGGTAGCAGAATTTTCTTTGTTTCCACATTTCTTCCCTCAATTTCCAAATAAATTCAAAAACCCCTGCAGCCCAGAGGGACTTCCTAAAATCAAGTTTGATCACTTTCCAATTCAAAAACTTTCAAAGGCTTCCCATGACCCTTAGGATAAAAGATAAAATCCTTTACAGGGCTTGAAGGCCTTCCAGATTGGTACAAGTTTTCTGTTAACTCCTCCTCTTACATTATATGTTAATAAACACCAAATTTACTTCAACTCCTCCAAAGGGCCCTAGGCTTGGATCCTTCTCAATCTCAGCTTTTCATTATGTTAATTTGTGCTCATATTAGCTTTCACCTTAAATGGCTTTTCCCTAAAACAAGCAATTACAGTGCCCTTCTAACTACTTCTAGAGCACCCAACCATAGCACTAATTACTCACACTATAATTACTTATTCACTAGTGCATTAACTCTGGGAAGGCAGGAACTGTTGTTACAGTCACCATTTTATTCTAAGAGCCTAGTATAGTATGTTCTCAAACTCTGGTGAGTAAAAGAACATAAAATTCAATAAATAACCTTTTTTTTTTTCTGTGGGGCTTGAACTCGGCTTGGGTGCTGTGCCTGCGTTCTTCAGCTCAAGGCGAGCGCTCTACCACTTGAGCCACAGCGCCACTTCCGGTTTTAGAGTGGTTTATTGGAGATAAGAGTCTCCTGGAGTTTACTGCCAGGACTGGCTTTGAACTGTGATCCTCAGATCTCAGCCTCCTGAATAGCTAAGATTACAGGCATGAGCCACCGGCACCTGACCCAATCTTGGTTTTCAATCAATGAATAAAAAGTCAAAACTCAAAAGATCATAATTATTGCCATCAATCTAAAGAAAAACAAAATACAGGCACCACAGCAGGAGAGGTGTGGCTGTGGCAAAAGTGATAGAGTACTTGCCTAGAAAGTAAGCTGCTTAGGTGAAACTAACCAAGATGTACTATACACATAAATGATAATATATGGACATGCTAAAATGAAATCCCTTTGTACAACTATTTGAAGAACATAATTAAAAGAAAAGAGAGATCCTGAGTTCAAGGCCCAGCATCACCAAAGCGGGGAAAAAAAGTAGAATGACAGTTACATCCTGCCTTAATTTTGTTACCATTGTAAAAATTAAAAAATCAGGAACAGTAAGCCCCAGGATCAGCACAAAATAAAAAGTAAAAAAATAAAGCATTGGATTTTAGAAAATAAATCCTTATCCATTTCAGATAACATAAGAAAGTATCAAAACTAATGACGAATAATAGTTTTATTTTATATCTAATTTCAAATATTCTCATCTCGCAATTCTCTAGTATTTCAATATTTAGCTTCAGGCCAACAAACAAACATATAGACAAGCCTATTTGCCACTCACACAAAGCTGGTTGAGGAAAACCAAGGCCAGATATTTGCATTTTTATTCTCAGACACCAGTTTGCTTCTTTTGCTCAAAAGCACATTCTATAACAGAAAAAGGAGTGTACTTGAAAGTACTTGAAAGACAGGGAATAAAAGGGTATCTGTGTGTACTTGAAAGAAAAAGAGTATGTGTGTGTACTTGAAAGACAGGGAATAAAAGGGTGTGTGTGTGTGTGTACACTTGAAAGACAGGGAATAAAAGGGTGTGTGTGTGTGTGTGTGTGTGTGTGTGTGTGTGTGTGTGTGTGTGTGTGTGTGTGTGTGTGTGTGTGTGTGTGTGTGTCCTGGGGCTTGAACTCTGGGCCTTGGTGTGTGTGTGTGTGTGTGTGTGTGTGTGTGTGTGTGTGTGTGTGTGTGTGTGTGTGTGTGTGTGTGTGTGTGTGTGTGTGTGTGTGTCCTGGGGCTTGAACTCTGGGCCTTGGTTGGTGTGGGGGGCGGGGGGGGGGGCGGTCCTGGGCTTGAACTCTGGGTCTTGGCGCTGCCCCTGAGCTCTTCAGCTTCAGGCTAGCGCTCTACCACTTGAGCCACAGCGCCACTTCCAGTTTTCTGGCAGTTTATTGGAGATCAGAGTCTCATGGACTTTCCTGTATGGACTGGCTTTGAACTGCGATCCTCAGATCTCAGCCTCCTGAGTAGCTAGGATTACAGGTGTGAGCCACCAGAGCCCAGCATCATATGAGAATCTTCATGATTAAAAGTCTTTTATGCCTGGCGCTAATGGCTCACACCTGTAATCCTAGCTACTCAGGAGGCTGAGATCTGAGGATCAGGGTTCAGAGTCAGGCCAAGCAGGAAAGTCTGTGAGAGTTTTATCTCTCCAATTAACGACCAGAAAACCTGAAGTAGCGCTGAGGGTCAAGTGGTAGAGCACTATCCTTTAGCTGAAGAGCTCAGGGACAATGCCCAGGCCTAGAGTTCAAGCCCCCCAACAATAAGAACAACAACAACAAAAAGATTCTCATATGGAATAATAGTTGACTTGAATAACTTTTTGAAAAGAAAAAGATAGTTGGGTGCTAGTGGCTCCTAACTGTAATCCTGGTTACTCAGAAGGCTCAGATCTGAGGATAGAGGTTCAAAATGAGCATGGGCAAGAAAGTCCATGTAACTTTGAAAAAGGTGGAAGTGGAACTATGGTTCAAGTGGTACAGTATTAGCTTTGAACAAAAAAAGAATAGGGACAATGAATACTCGGGCTGTGAATTCAAACCTCAGGATGGGTGTGCATATATACATACACATACACATTTTTTCATGTTCCTTCTACATAAATAAATCTTACAGAATGACAGGAATCACTCAAGGAGTTTGAATAATTTCTAGATGTCAAAAAGTACAAGAATCTTTATTCAGGCCGGGCGCTGGTGGCTCACGCCTGTAATCCTAGCTACTCAGGAGGCTGAGATCTGAGGATCGCGGTTCAAAGCCAGCCCGGGCAGGAGAGACCGTGAGACTCCTATCTCCAATAAACCACCACAAAACCAGAAGTGGCGCTGTAGCTCAAGTGGTAGAGCGCTCGCCTTGAGCTGAAGAGTTGAGGGACAGCGCCCAGGCCCAGAGTTCAAGCCCCACGACTGACAAAAAAAAAAAAAAGAATCTTTATTCACTCAAAGTGGTCTTTTTTTTTTTTTTTTTGGTCCGGTTGTGGGGCCTGAACTCTGGGCCTGGGTGCTGTCCCTTAGCTCTTCAGCTCAAGGCTAGCACTCTATCACTTGAGCCATAGCGCCATTCCTGGCTTTTTTCTTTGTGCTCATGTGATGCTGAGGAATCGAACCCAGGGCCTCATGCATGCAAGGCAAACGCTCTACCACTTAACCACCTTCCCAGCCCCTCAAAGTGGTCTTAATTCAACAGGCAAGTATGTAGTGTCTCTAAAACTGGGATAGTCAAGGATGACAAACCCCCAGAACAATTTCTCTGCTTGTCAAAGGGGCATTACAAACAAACAAACACACACACACACACACACACACACACACACACACACACACCACACACACACAACACACACACACACACAAAACTACTACAAATCTGGACTATGATTCAATTTAAACCCAAAGTTGCTAAAATAAAGATTATGGAAAATGAAGTTAGAAAGAAGAGAGTTTTAGATAGGGGGTGGTCAGGCCTTTACAAGAAGCCATTTTTAAACAAGTCTTCATAGATGAGACCTTGGCAAGTATGGACAGAGTCCAACTTTTGGTGACAATGACTAGCAAGGCAGGGTACTGCAGTGAGGAAAGTGTAGAGATAGCAGTAGTCTGTTATTCAGTACTTTTTATAGACTGCTGATAGCAGCTGAGAAGTCATTTAAATGAGTGGCATTTATACAGGAGGGACATAAGTTTATTAAAGGCATTTACTTTTTTTGTGTGTTATGTGCCAATACTAGAAGTAATGGCTTAAACTGCTGTCCCTTACCAGGTGAACCACAGCTCTACTTCCAGCTTTTTCCTGACTACACAGAGATAAGAGTTGTCTCATACTTTCCTGCACCAGCTGGCTTCTAACCAGGATCCTCAGATCTACCCTCTTGTGTAGGTAGGATTATAGGTGAGAGCCATCAGTGCTTAGCCATTTACATTGCTTTTAATGACTGACTAGGTGTTTATGACCTATACAGTGGAGTTAACTTGAACATACTTATCTTAGTAAAGGCAATTTATTTATTTTAATAGAGGCAACTGAGGCTCAGGGAAGATACAGTCATTGACTAAGTCACCAGTCTAATCCAGCCAAACATCAAAAGCCTGAGCTAACTCCTACTACACTAAGCAGATGACCCTTCTGGCTAATTCACTTACCAATTCAGCCCCATTGAGTCAAAAATGCACTGACTTCACAAATGTCCTCCTGAAACAAACAAAAAAAAGTGCTATTAATTAGTGTATTTATACAGTTTTGTAGTAAAATTTCTCCAAGGGGTCACATATTTGTATGTTTTTAAAAAATAACAACAGATTGGTTGAGATACAGTACTACATCTAATTTACTTACTTAAAGGTCATGTCTTGGGTGAGAGGTGTGACTCAAGAAAGCACTTATTTAGCAAATTCAAGCCTCTGAGTTCAAACCTCAATAGAGAGGGGAGGATGGGAGAAGGACAACTCTCTCATAAAAACACTTTCTTTTTAGCGATTCTGGAGGCTTGAACTTAGGTCTTTGTGCTTTCCAGGGAGGTACATTACCAGTGTACAATGCCTCTGGTCCCATTTGCTTTTATGAAAGATGGTGTTTCCCCATTATCACCTCCCACCCACAGCTGGGATGGTAAATACACACTATACCAAATGCACTCTCTTTTAAAAAACATATTTTTTGGGGAGGGGGAGGCTGGTCATAGGGCCTAAACTCAGCTCTTCAGCTCAAGGCTAGCGCTCTACCACTTGAGCCACATCATCACTTCCAGCTTTTTCTGCTTATGTGGTGCTGAGGAATTGAACCCAAGACCTCATGCATGCAAGGCAAGTGCTCTACCACTGAGCCACCTTCCTAGCCCCAATTTTATATTTTTTAAAGGTGTTTTACAGAGGGGTTATCATTTCCTAAGTGATAAGTACATTTCTTTTTGGGGATGGTGTCACCTTTTCCTTCGCTTTCCCCTAGTTCTCCTCCATTTCTGCCCACAAGTTACATAGTACATTTTCCACATAGTGAATAATGAATAGTATGATTGCATTTGTTCATCCTCCCTCCTCTTCTGTGCCCTCTTAAAAAAAAAAAAAAGCAAAAAGCAAAAGCAAACACCACCACCACTAATACCATCACCACCACCAAGCCCATTCTTTTTGGTTAAGACAGGGTCTCATTTTGTTCAAAACCCAATCCTCCAAATCTCTACCTCCTGAATACAGGCATAAAAACAACTCATGAACTGAAAGTTTTCAAACTCAAGCTATCCTGGCCCACAGTTGGTGTAAATGATTTTTCTCAAGTCTATTTAGCTTCTCTATTAGCTATTAGCTATTCTCTATTAGCCTGTTAGCTTCTTTAGCTGCTTCATTCATTTCATCACCTAACAGGATGGGCAGAAAACTAGAACCTTAAGCAATAGCTACACTGCAGAGAAAAATGACTTCTACAGAATTAGTGAGCCTTTCTCTTGCCTTTGGTCTTTACCTCTAAATCTCATCCATCCAAGTTTGGTAGGGACTTCTCAATGTAAACTAGGTCAAGTGTAATGCTTATAAACTTTATCAAAGAAGAAGTATATTATTTTTGTAAATTTATTTTTAGAAATAGTATAAATGAATTGTAATTTCCTTAATTGTCCTGCTAGTGTAATCTTAATACTATTAAGCCATATATGAGACTACTTTTCTTCTTCCTACGATATATGTTTCAGAAATTTATGTATTTCTAACAATAGTACATGGTGCCACTTGGAGAGTTGCAAATATTTTTCTTCCCATTGATCCAAATTATACTAAAGCTGAAAGATATTCCTCAGAATTTCTGGCACAAAATTAGGGCTGTTACTGATTTTTCATCACTTTGATAAAGTTTTATGTACTACTTTTGCTTTAAAATTATTATTACTGGGGCTGGGAATGTGGCTTGGTAGTAGAGTGCTAGCCTTCAGCAAAGGAAGCTCAGGGACAGAGCCCAGGACTTGAGCTCAAGCCCCAAGACTGGTAAATAAAATAAAATAATTATTACTGGCTTGGACTGGGATATAGCTCCAGTGGCAAAGCGCTTGCCTAGAAAGTACAACATCCCAGGGAGTTGAGGGGGAGGCTGGGAAGGGATGTGAAGGGTAAACAAAGGAGGAGGCTGCAATGCTTGGTAAGAAATGTATGCATTATCCTGCCCATGTAATTGTAACCCCTCTGTAGAGTATGTTCACAAATAAAATTAAAAAAAAAAAGAAAGTACAACATCCCAGGTTCGATTCCCAGTACCAAAAAGAAAACACACACACACACACAAAAATACAGTTAAATAAAGTTTTACCATTGCTAATTCATTACCCTATATTCTTTAGGGAGGAGGTTAAGACTGAAGGCTAATATATAATAGACTTAAGACTGTATTTAATTTCTGGAGAACTATTTACTTTGAATAAAAATAGATGCATCCAGGTTCAAATATACTGTGAAATGGGAAAGAATTTGGTTTTACCCAGATTAGATTTTGAACTAGTATCTTGGTATTTCATAAAATTTGTCACTTTTTTTTTTTTTGGTCGGTCATGGGGCTTGAACTCTGGGCCTGGGCGCTGTCCCTCAGCTCTTCAGCTCAAGGCAAGTGCTCTACCGCTTGAGCAACAGAGCCACTTTCAGTTTTCTAGTGGTTTATTGGAGATAAGAGTCTCACGGACTTTCCTGCCTGGGCTGGCTTTGAACCGTGATCCTCAGATCTCAGCATCCTGAGTATCTAGGATTACAGGCCACCGGTGCCCGGCAATTTGTCACATTTGATTTTGTCAAATTACACTTACCTTTCAATTTAACAAAAAGTTTCCTTTTCTTTCTTTTCTTTCTATTTCTTTCTTTCTTTCTTTATTGTAGTATTAGGGGTTAAACTTCAGCTTTGTGCTTGCTGGGCTTGATGGCTGAAGCTAAACTATGTAAGCCACACCTCCAGCCCAAGTATCTACTCTTAATAGATAAAACCTTGAGATCCTTGTAGGAGGGTGTGGGGAGGGCACAGAATCTGAGGAAGAAGAGTGAAAAGTGCAGCAGTAGGGCACACTGGACATTGATGAAAGTGAACTATACAACTCGTGGGAGGAGATGGGAGGGAGGGAAAGTTGAGAATGAGGGAACGGATGAAAGGAAATGTACTTATTCCCTGATGCATATAAATGTAATCCCTCTGTATATATCACCTCTATAACAGTAAATTAATTTTTTTTTTTAAATCTTGAGCTCCTGAGCCTAGTACCAAACCAAAAAAACTGAATCCTGAAAATTTTTTAAAGGAATAAATCATATTGAGCTTTTGTATTCAAGACTAGTTAGTGCTCTACCACTTGAGCCACAGATCTACTTTCTAACCTTTTGGTGGTTAATTGGAGATAAGAGTTTCACAGACTTTCCTTCAATGGCTAGCTTCAAACTGTGATCCTCATCTCAGCCTCCTGAGTAACTAGAGTTAGTGGCTGAGTAACTAGAATTAGTCCTTTGCATGGTGGTTCTTGCCTATAACTAGCATTCAGGTAGCTGAGGCAAACAGATGAGATCAAGACCACCCCAAACTACAGTCTTTAAAAGAAAAACAAAAAAGTAAATGGCCCTTTAAGAATCACTCTAAAAGGAAGTTGAGATCTGAGAATCACTGCTCAAAGCCAGCCTGGGCAGGAAAGTCCCTGAAACTCTTATCTCCAATAAATCACCAGAAAACCAGAAGTGGTGCGGTGTCTCAAGTGGTAGAGCAATAGTCTTGAGCCGAAGAGCTGAAGCACAGCGCCCAGACCCAGAGTTCATGCCCCATAACAAACAAACCAAAAAAAAACCTCTACAGTAATAATGTCATTCAAATTATTGTAGTTTGTTTCAAGGTTGGCTGAATTTGGCAGGTACTCTACCATTTAAGCAGGGTTTCTAGCCTTTTTGCTCTAGTTGTTTTTAAGATAGGGTCTTCCTTTTGCCTGGGTTGATCTGGGCTGTGGTGTTTTACATTTTCCTTTATAGCTTGGGTGATAGGCACAGAACACCATGCCCAACTACTGAAGAAGATGAGGTCTCATACTTTTGTCCAGGATAGGCTTCAACTGAGATCCTTCTTATCTCAACTTCCTGAGTTGCTAGTATTACAGAAATGAGCCACAGGTGTTGAGCTTTCAGAACTTCTAGCTGGGCCCAGGTGGCTCATGCCTATAATCTTAGCTACGCAGGAGGCTGAGATCTGAGGATAGCAGTTCAAAGCCAGCTTGGGCAATAAAGTCCATGAGATTCTTACCTGCAATTAACGACCAAAAACTAGAAGGATTTTGTGGCTCAAAGTGGTAGAGTGCTAGCCTTGAGCAAAAGAGCTCAGGGACAGAGCTCAGGCCCTGAGTTCAAGCCCCATGATTAGAAAAAAAAATATATTTGAATAAAATTTACCAGTTTTTATCGGTTGGCTTTTTTTTTTTTTTAATTTAAACACTGCCAGAGCTATCATTTGTAATTCACAGACTAAAGTTCTTAAAGCCAGGCTATACCTATAGTCTTAGCTATTCTGGAGGCTGACAAAGAAAGACTGCCTAAGCCCAGTTAATAACCAGTTTGGGCAAAATAGTAAGACTCCATCTGAAAATATGAAATTTAAAGCCAGGTACCAGGGGATGATGTCTTTAATCTTAGCTAAAAGAGAAGGATCTAGTTCAAAGGCAGCCCAGGCAGAAAAGTCCAGAGACTTTTACCTCCAATTAACAAGAAAAATGCTGGCTATGAGGCACAATAGAGCACCTGCTGAGCAAATGTGAATAAATAAATTTAATAAGATTTAATAAAGAAATTTAATGAAGAAATTTATAAGTAAATAAATTTAATAAATAAGATGGAACTCACAAGGCAAGCAGAAAAAGTCCTGTTTGTAACAGTAAGTTCACCCTAGCAATAAAATTTCTTAATAGAGAAGAATCTGAAATAATTATGCTTTCTAAAGGTTCAGAATATGGTTAGTATTGTTAATGAGATAAATTTAATTCATTTGTTTCTTGTTGAAGGTAAAATTACCATTTCTCAATTTCAAAACCAAAGGGAACAGTTTAATGTATTAGTCTAAGGAAATGAGCAGCATTCAAAAAAGAAGCTTATTCTATACTGAAATCATGAAAATACTTATATAACAGATGGCTGTGTAACTAAAGGAAAAAGGTTGTATTATATGACATTATCGTGAGCTGATATAAACATAGCCACTTT